CTTTCACTCATGCAATTCCCAAAAGCCTTTCTACAGAAGAAGAGCCTATTTATCAAATAGATTTTGATGGAACGGATTATTTTCTTCCATCACTAACTCTAAACCTGTATCCAAAGCTTTGAGCGCTATTTCAGCACATTTTAATCAAACCTTTACTTTTCGATTAATCTTGACTTTAGATTGAGATATATTTTATACAAACGTTTCTCAAAACAATCTATTTTGTGATTTTTTATTTGAAAAGGTTATTTTATAATTTTTTTATTTCTATAAAATCTATATTTTTATAAAATATTTCTATAAATTCAGATAATTAAAGTTAAGATAAATCTAAAATACAAAATCTCTCTCTCTCTCTCTCTCTCTCTCTCTCTCTCTACTTTTCTTTATTGTCACTGAACTCATTCCATACGATATATTCAACCTATTTTGTTACTTTTACGGCATTTTCTAATGCCTTCAAACCTCTGTATATTCTTTCTTTTTTCAATAAGTGTCCCAACTTTTACACAAAAAATATATTTTTGTTTACTTTAACTCTCTTTGTTCTGTCAATTCACCAAATGCTAACTTATTTTACAATTTATAATATGATTTATCACCGGTTTATATCCAAATATTATTTGCAATCAATAAATATATTCATAAATTAATATCAAGAAATCTACAATTAACCCAACATTTCAATTATAAATATCATGCGGAGGGCTGTTATGCAAGAGTTATGAAGAGTTCATTTCTATATGCCTTTCATTATGACTAGAATACTGTATATATTGTTATTATGAAGTATTTTGAGTTTGAAATGAGAGAATATTTAGAATTCTCGTATGAGTTGATGGTATCCGAGGAAAGATAAATGAGTGGAGACGAGAATTTGTGAATTCCATCTCAATTACTCCCCTGTCATTCGGATTCGTTATTTATGTCACAAAATTTCTGTCACAAACTAAATCTCAGCCATTGCTCACACTTTTTCGGCACAATTCTCTTCAATATTGACTTTTTTAAGGAGTATTAAAAGCGTCCAAAAACTGCGAACCATTCTCTCTGTGATCGCACGCTATGTATGACTTGAATGGGAGGATCACAACAACTAAGGCGTGGAATAATGCGGTTTTTTCTCTCTTTCTCTCTCACTGTCAACGCAAGCGTTCTGTAAACTAACATATTTAGTAAACTCTTAGTTCTGGTCTTTACTGTTATCTAATGTTTTAGAGGATACTGTATGTAGTTTTGATGATATGTTTTTGCATGGCTTCCGATTGTAACTCAAACTAACAGTGAATGAAAAACTTTGCGCCGGAAATTGTCGGTCCATCAGAACATGATATAACCAAAACTCAATGATATACCACTGTCTCCACTGCCTGTACCCATCACTGCACGCCATCCCCGCGTTTAATATCCATTTACTATCAATTGTTTAAGCGATGCTTTCATTCAATAAACAAAACACAACTTTTAGGAATCCCTTCAATCTCTTATGACATCACTTTTGCTCTCATTTATTAATTATATTTTATTCTAATCACTAAATCATTAAATCCTTACAATTATACTAATTTTGTCAATAAATTGCTATAATTAATCACAATTATTATTAATTATTGATTTAATTTTAGTTTTGCAATAAAAATATAACAAGTTCAATTGACAATTGCATTGTATTAATTGTTGACTTTGATATTGTTTAATTATGTATCATATAAATAATATATTATTACATAAGCCTAATGTGCCATCTGAAATTCCTTTTGTTGCCATGGACCATGGTAAAATGTTTTTCAAATTAATGTTATATTGTGAGAGTTAGCACTACTTGGGTAACGTTGACAATACATGATTCTAAATTTTTAACTTCAATTCAGTATAAAAATTGAGGTTTATAAGTTCGCCGGCCCCCTACCACACCTCCCACCAAAGCAAATAACATGGCACCCCAGCTTAAGCACATGGCTATATTTTAACATGATGCTAATGTTAAGCGTCCGAAAGCATTATCAACGATCCTATTGTATAAAGTGTTCATGAATTGCAAACCTATGGGATTTGACAATTGGTTAATATACTACCATATCTACAGTACTTATTGCTTCATAATGTAAATGTTGCCGCTCTTTATGTTTTAAAAAGATAATCAGCATAATGTTAGTAATCACTGATTACTAATCAGCATATCCTAATTTGCACTTGGTAATTTTAAAACACAGTCCAAAGTACAGTATTAAAGCCAATGCTTTAATATAGCAAAATGAACCTTTTGATAGTTAGACGCCTGAAAGGACACTCTATAGCAATACTCGAGTATTGCTTTGACACGTAATGTATAAGAAGGGAAAGAAAGTTAATTTGATATAAAGATTATTATTAACTTATAAGAAGAGATTATGATTGAATTCTCATCACTTTTACTTTATTTTATATTATCTATTATAACTGTCTGTAAATTAAGTTATAATCTCGACTGGAATTTTATTATAAAATTATTATAAAATCATATTTTGGACATTTTTATTAAATTTTATTGTTAATTAAATATTTCGTCAAAATTTAGCGAACAATTGTTAAGTGTTGTGGCATTGAATTAAATTTATAAGAAAATACAATTTACTTATTTATAGAGTGTCCATATTTGAGTGGAAATATTTTGCAAATAATGTTTAAAGGGCTTTATGTGTTGAGACGATTTACTTATATTCTTACGATATATAGTGTCAAATGGTATCGATTTGTTTGTGCAGAACCTTTGGATAGAGACGAGTGAATGGATAAAGTGATACTCAGGGAATTGTGAGTCCTCTTTGGATATATTATAGTCTTCATATTGAGTTTGAAAATTCTTTTCATATAGACATCAAATGAATGAATGGATCACATATTTAGGTTCGCATAGAATTTATTATATTTTACTTTTTTTGGGTACATAAAAGACAAACCCTATGTTATATTGTTATATCCATTTTATCCATTTTGTAAGTATTGTGTATTGTGTTCAGTGGACACCGTATAGTGAATGAGCTCTCATTGTATTTCTGCTCATCACCCAAACATTGGTGACCATAATAAGCGTTGACAGCTTTCTCATGGCTCGACTCACATATATTTTTATTAACAATACCGACGCCAATGATACCAGTGATACCAGTTTTGGCACTTTTATTTGAAACAATAATAAAGTGTTGCAATCGTCGGCTTAACTCTAGCTGTCGTTCTGGAGAACCACTAACTAAACTACACTTCATATTAAGTTAAATGCAATGCGAATATAATTTAATGCTCAAAACTTAATGAACAAAATCCAAACAAAAAATCAAAACCTATATTTTGTCACTTTATTGTCATTTAATTGTCTTGTCATTAGACACTTGAATCCGTTTCTAAACCATTCATCACACAATTCATTAGAGCCATCAATATTTAATTTAATGAACTAATTAAATACTATTATAGATCTCATTTATATCCTTATGTAATCTATTTGTTTGTATTTATTATGTATAATAAACTAATTATAATTAAATTAATTATTGATTACTTAAAAATTTTCTTCTTTATCATTGATCATAACTTATTATTTTTAATTAAATGGCAATAAAGTTACAGTTAAACACAATATTGAGTTTAGTTAAATCCAAACTAGAGAGAGAGAGATGGCTGTCATTTATCATTGAAAGCCGGAGAAGGCTGAGATTTAGTTTGTGACAGAAATTTTGTGACATAAATAACGAATCCGAATGACAGGGGAGTAAATAATAATTGTGATTAATTATAGAAATTTATTGACAAAATTAGTATAATTGTAAGGATTTAATGATTTAGTGATTAGAATAGAATATAATTAATAAATGAGAGCAAAAGTGATGTCATAAGAGAGAGAGAGAGAGAGAGAGAGAGAGAGAGAGATTACAATGTAATATATGTTGAAATGTCTCATAACGTTGACGTCTCCACAGGTTTCCCTTCCATCGGATGTGTTTCTCTCCGATTGTAATAAAGACACACAAAACTGCCGATAAAACTAATAAAAGTTATTTCCCGTTCATTACTGATGAGACTGTGGGGAAGCGATTTCATTAATCGTTGCGGGAATCGGATATGGGCTTAGGTTTACAGAGAAAGGCATTTCAGATGAGTCTAATCCATACAAAGGTGCACAATGTGTGCACATGTCTGCACGTGTCTGCTGTACGCGCTATTAGGCGCCGCACGTGTAGAAACAATATTAAAAATATTTGACATGAATTTTATTAAAATTGCTGAATGAATGCAAACACAATGTGTTGTCGCTCTGGTGTAGGCCTGTGCTGACTGACGACTCAATCAATTGTATGCCTTTCTCTCATTTCAATTAATTTCATTGTATAGCAAAACAGATTTGATTAACGGATTGAGGGATTGAGAGCATTATAGGTCAGACGACAATTAGTCGGCATCAGGTTCTTGACACCAGTCAGAGAGACGATACCTCCTGTCCCTCAGGCTATGGTCGGTGCCATACCTTTCACACCGCTTCTCAATAAACTTCTATTTATTTTGAATTCATTTCACTTCTACATAAGTCAATTGTTTACATACAACTAACCCTTAATTTAAATAAATATCTATTTTATCGTTATGTAAATAACAAACAGATTACATGATTTGGCACAAAGAGAAAGATTTTTTTCTCGTTTACAGATTTATTTGTATAATTAGTTTTAAATGCAAAAAAATATATCGATATAAAACTCTATAGCGATTGTGGAGCACAATATGTGTTAAATATACTGCAATGCATTGACAAAGTCATAAGCTTTCACCAGTAAAAGCAATATACCATAAGAAAGTGTGTATTTTGATGAACAATATGATCATTTAGATACGGGTACTCCTCATTGGTTGACAGTGTTGTGCGCCGGAGCCGTGTGGGCACATATAGCACACAAACTACTGGGTGTTTAGAATACATCTTTGGACTTATTTTTCTCATCTAAACATCATTTTCGTATACTTTTAAACGGCTTTTTCATGAGATAAAGTAGAGTTCAATTATTATTCAATTTATTAAATAGTTTATTAAATAAACGACTAATTAATTGAATTAAATAAATACAATTTGAATCAAAACTAATTGAGTGCTTAATTGAGAGCTGAGTCAACAATCACGGCCTCCAGAATTTACGAGTCGGGCTCCTCTACCGCTGCGTTCTGGGAGACGCTGTGGCCGAGTATGTTAAACAACTTTCACCAAGGTGCTAACACTCCCAACGGACCCATCGGCAAACCCAATCTCCCGAACCTATCCAACATCACATCCAACATCCACTCCCATCACCACAACTCCATCAATAATAACAACAATAATAACATCCAACTGCTCGGCGAGAATGGACACAACAACGGACACAACGGCACTCCAAACCATATGCCGGGCACTCCATCCGAAAACTCTTCAGCGCTCGGCATAAGTGTCTCTCATTCTAATAGCAATACAAATGAAGGCCATTCACACCACCAGAACATCAATAGTAACTCAAATCAAGACAAACCGAGTAAACAGAAGCGCCACAGAACCCGATTCACTCCCGCACAGCTTCAGGAGCTCGAGAGGAGCTTTGGTAAGACTCACTACCCGGACATCTTCATGAGGGAAGAGCTCGCCATGAGAATTGGGCTCACGGAGTCTCGCGTTCAGGTTTGCACTTTCACACTTTTCACTCCATTCCTCACTTTCTTACTATACTAATCATACAGTCGTGTAAATATTCATTTATTTATAGAATTATATTTTATCAAAATGAGATATTCTACAGCATTTCATCATATATTTAAATGTCATTTACTTATTATAAACGTTATAATGTTTGACTAAGTATTCATATAATATTTTATCTATAATCCAATCCTTTCTATTACTACTATATAACACTATATATGAATATTTTTCTATTTGCTCTAAAAGTCTGTCCACAGCTCTTAGTTTTTAAGATTCTACAGCTTTATTAAATTCCTATATTCATTGCCTTTTAATATATAAGAATTCATATAATTTACGCAAATATAAAAAAATTAAAGAATATATAAAAGAGTGAAAAATGTGAAGATAGTGTGCGATACCACTCTTGATATATCATTTCCATTATGCCATTATTGCCTTATGATTTGACGGCATTTTTCAGCAAAACTTGCCTTTGAATGAATTCTTAATAAAAGTAAAAACTTTTAAATTGAGAATATTTTATTAAGGTTTAACAATACTGTACTATACAGTTGTTGACTACAACTGTCTCCGGCATAGATCTAAACACAGTATTATACACAATGTAGTCTATATATGTTAATTATAATACATGAATTTGTGGCGCTTGTCTTAACCATCTCGTTGTGTGGGCTCAGACTCTACTTCAGTAGTGCTGTACAAATCGGCTCCATATTTATTGTGTTGTCTTCACTCTAATAAATGCCGCTCTTTTGACCCATTTTTAATCCAAACTTTATTTAACTCTTTTTTGGTGACAATTCAAAGTATAAATTGTATTCATTTACTCCAATGTTGTCTCAATTTTGAGTTTCGTGAAAATATTTAGAGATATTCTATTAAAAGATGACAATTTTGAATGAATGTGAATGACATGTTTACTCTAATCTTCCAACACATTAGGTTTCATTCATTTTCAATTATAACACTTTTAAATGAATGATCAAATTTTGCTTTCGTGTCATACATTTCACATACATTTCTATAAATAATTTTGTAAATAGAGTATAAAGTTGTTTCAAATTTACGTAATTGACGATTCAAATTATTTACATGCTTAGCTACTATTAGTTGTTTAACAATGAAAATATATTATTTTTAGATTTAGAACATGCTTTTCTCTATATGTATATCAAATTAATATTAATTAGATATAACTCTTAATATTAAAGGTTTAAATATACCAATAGATTACGACAGTTTATTTTGAATGCATAAAACCAATTGATTTTCTTTAATTGTGTGATTATTAAAAATCAATCTCTATATACGATCGTTAAACAGACGGTTAATTAACTTTATGTTTGAATTTATCCTTTTTTTGCTTTTGGATAAAATATATTTATGATTGTTTTATACATACAAAGCAAACATATCTTATGCATTATATGATATGTTTTAGGGTATCCTCCGGGAGCTGTATTTCATACAATGCACTGCAAATAGAGATCCAGTTGTTCATCGAAAAGGCCTTTATATTTGTCAGTATTATTATATGAGCCATAGTTTATAAATTATCCAAAGAGATAGCATTTTCTATAGAGTATTGGTAAGAGTGGTAGAACTGGTAGGACTGCAATCATCGCTCGTTTCTAATATATCACTGCAAAGGCTTCACAGTATCGGAGCTCTCTATTGATGCGGTGCTCCGTTTTTGCTGACTTTCCTCTCTCTATGTGTGCATCAATTTTGTTGCTGTTGTTTAGCATATAGTGTTCACTTGGGTCTAAAAGTGATACCTTCTGTCTATTCAGTGCGAATAGAGTAGAGTATGTGTTATAATATGTGAGATGTTGTGCCGCAATCTCATATCGCAGTGAAATGCCTGACATAACAGCAAAACTGTGAGCACTGGTAGTGATGGCGAAGAGTGAAGACTGAATTGTGAGAGGGAATGGCGTCGAGGGACCCGACGTAGTGCTACACTGACAACGAATGTACATTTGATATTAATGTGGTTTTGCTGTCCCATTAAAAAGTAATCCGTCCCATAGAGGCTATACATCGGCTGTGAAGGCATAGCAAACATTATGCACATATTATGCTATAATTCCAGCACAACATTCACTGATATTACACTCTTACAAGTTTGCACTGATATACCATTGATTTCAGTCTCATAAATGATTATTACTAAATAACTGACGGAGATTACAATCTAAGGTCCGCCGTAACGACAATCACGATTACTACTCTATATATACACTACATATTAGTCATGAAAATATGCCCTTTTGTTAATCAAACTTTTATTACAATAACAAATCACATCGATTATCAATCGGTCTATTTTTCCCATCATATTTGCATAATATTTGGTTTATTTAATATATTTTTCTCCTTTCATTTAAGTCTTTAACACTAACCGTTAGACTAAACATTCAATTCAAATATCATGTCTAAACTTATAATAAATTTGAAAAATAAATCTCAAACAACCGTACCATCAGTTCATATAAGACTTAACACATGCAAAATGACCACAATTTATTTCAACAACTTTTCATTATTTATTTAACGCAAACATTTTGCAAAAATTTTACATCATTTTCCGATTACCACTTCTTTCGATATTTTATTACAATTTTTTTTTATAGTCACCAGAGTTTAGGTTTTGGCCTAAAGTCATACTTTTTAGTTATCGATGACAGCGACTACTTTCTCGCCTTTTATATAACACTATTTTATTTAAGATCATATTTTTAAAGGCATTTGCATTTTGTAAAAACATCTAAATTGAAACCAAATGTAATAATTTTATTATAATTTATTTATTTTTTATAATTTCAGGTTTGGTTTCAGAACCGAAGGTATAAAATATTGAATTAAATGAATAAATGAATAGATTATAAAAATTGAATACAATTTAGAGCAAAATGGAAAAAGAGAAAGAAGACAACGAATGTGTTCAGAAGTCCGGGCGCTCTCTTGCCGTCTCACACATTACCACCGTTTGGTTCAATGGGTTCATCGGACGGGTTGTGTTCGTTTGGTCCGACACACGACACCCGGTGGCCAATGAGCGCCGGAATGGGTCAGATGTCTGGCCACCCGATGCCAATCGGTCACAGTCTTAATCAACAGCCAACGAATTTCGGTCAGAACTTATCCACTGGAATGGCGTGTAATATAAGTCAATCCAATTCAAGCATATCATCGGCGAGCGCGCCGTCATATCAAACTCCATATACAAATGTGGCCATCAGTTGCAGTCCTCCTCTCAATCCACAAGAATCCAACACTTCGTGTTCGCCGCAGAACTGGTCTAATGACACGACCAGCACCTGGAGAGGCACTTCCATCGCCACTCTCAGACGTAAAGCACTCGAACACTCAGTTTCAATGACTTTGAGATGAATTATTATCAATTAAGCCAAACATTCCGTCAAATATACTAACCATTTGACGGTTTAAATACTAAACATATTTAAGTTCCTCCATTACATTACAACTTTTCATTCAATTTATATTACTTTGGTTTTTATATAAGTTTTTTCATTTAATTACTTAACTATAAAAATATTTGTAAACGTATTAAAATTGAAATATATTAAACTGTCATTTTGAACATATCATATACAAATGTTTTAATTTTATTATTAAAATCAGGTTGAATCTATTAAAATCGATCAAGGTGCTTCTCTCACAGTTAAACATTTATTCTCATATAGTTATCGAAAACCCGATATTTGACCATTTTTAGTAAATATTATATATTATTAAATACTATATTATGTATTATATTTAGGGTTGTGACACTTGGTAAATTACAATTTTACCGTGGTAATTTACGGTAATTTACATGTAAATTACCAAGTTTTCTGAATCTTACATGTAAATTACAACATTCAAACACATGACTTGTCAAAATATAAAGAACTTTTGATATTAGTCATGTCCAAAATGCCAATAATTGAATAATTAAAAAAAACTTTAATTAAAAAAATTACTGATTACTAGATTTATAATTAAAATCAATATAAATGAGAGACAATAATGACTTTATTAATAATAAATAACGAGAAAAATTGATTTTATTTATTATTTTTGTTTCAAAAATTATAAAAATTCCAAAATTAATTGTAATTCTAATAGTAGTTCTGTAGTTTTTAATTATATTACAAGTGATAACTATCGTAATTAGGTATATAATTAATATTCCATAAAGAACTGAACATTAATTTAATTTATTTATAGAAAATTACGAATTTTACCGAATATTACCGTAAATTACCGAATATTACCTGTAATGTAAGATTGAAATGAATATTACCGGTAAAGTAACAACCCTAATTATATTAGTATTTTGAAAATTACTAGTAATAACATTAAAAGTTATTATTTTGCATAATTAAAACTAAATTCTAGACTCAATAGAACAAAAATATGAGAACAATATTATCAAAACAGCTATTTATAAATTATTTGACGATATGTGCCGAACAGGAGTGAGCGGAGCAGCGAATATCAAGCATCACATCTAATGTTATATTTGGTTTGGAGGGTTCGCCACAAAATGAGGCACTCTATCACACATCAAAATATTAAATTTTCTCAACCTTTTTACTCTTTACTCGCTTTTATTTAATTTTATCAGATTTCTCAAAATAGGTATCAAATGATTTTTGTCCTCAATATTTTGATATATACCGTAGAGTTAAGATTGACCATGTAGATTTTGAGATTTAGCTATCTGTGCATAAAAGCCGGACAGTTAAGCAGAAAATCTGAAATAGTTAAAATATCCGTCAAATAAATACATAAATGCACCAATCATGAAATAATGTAAAAAAGCACATTGAATATTCTTAAAATATTGTTCAAAAATTGCTAAATAATTGTGTTATTTACAAAGACTCAAAATTGAGTTCATGCCTGCGGCCACTTGTATACACTTGTATTATAGCACTGATCGCTGTTAAACCATAGAAGCATATTGTGATCAATAGCATAGCATAATAGAATGTGTTACCCTTAGGGTTCGCTAAAGCGACTTACCTACAGATTTGTAGGTCGCAGGTATGATGACCGGGTAACTATGACGGCCCGATTACCTCCCAAAAAGCTCACTCATCAGATGGCGTGTGTATAGTCATCGATCAGTCTCTGATACCAGTGCTCAATATTTGTCATTCATATAGTATGTCATTTAAATTGGTTTTTTATTATTTGAAATGTAAAATCAATTAAGCCGGTGCCCATGAGGCCAGTGCCGGAGATAAACAATTCATTTATTAATAGTTAATACAATTGAGATAATGTATAGCACAACCCTCGCTATCACTGGCCTTAGAAACGCTGGATGGCTCCGGTTTGATGCTTGAAATATACAATTTAATAGACAGTACTAAATATGCTTATTGTTGATCCAATAGTAAACAGTTTTTCTGATTTGCAATTTAATAGCCGACCATACAATTCAATTGTTTCATGAGACACATGTTCGTAATCACTACTTATCAAATCTGTATCTCAATATCTCGGAACCAATTAAAAACCCAAATAGTGATATTTTGACACAAATTTGATAGAAAATCTATTTGTGAAATAATCACAGACAAATGCATTCTCATTGGCAGTTAAAAGAAGTAATGTATTTTCAGTAAATGTACTCTTTGAATCGTAAAACACTTTTATTACATCTGATATAACGGCGCTGTCCTTTTCTATTAATCAAAAACCTTAAATGTAAATAATAACAAATTAATTAATATATTATAACTAAGGCCGGTGCCCATGAGGCCAGCGCCGGATAAACAATTCATTTATTAATAGTTAATACAAATGAGTTCAGGTGTAGCACAACTCTATGGACGCCTGATCACTATATAATGATATATCTATCTCTGAGGTCAGTATCCAATACTACATACAATCAATTAGATGTCCAGTTAACTCATTTCCCAAACTAAACCAATATTTATTTATAACAACACGAGTTTGGCATTCAATCACACATCAAACCCCTTGTCAGCCATATTGGATCGCTTAAGCATTGATGTCCTCATAGACTAAAACTTTCAAAAAATCTAGAGAGACAACAAAAACACTTACATCTATTAACTCTATGCCAAAACATGCGTTTCAATGTACAGAATACTGTGATGTTACTCTCATTTATATATCTGTCATTGAGATTGTTTTCCCACAAATCGGACTTTTGTACTTATAAATTACCTAAAGGTCGTCATAATAAATTACGTAATAACGAATGTAATAACGACCGTAATTTATGAGAGCGCCTTACGTTACGTGAACACTACTTTGAAATGAGTTTTGAGAATTGCATCAGAAATTCATTGAAATTGAAGGCAAGTATTAAACACTGTTTTCCGATTCCGGCATTCATTCAGTCATTCAGTGCCGCACTTGTAATCATTGATTGTGGGCTAACGCAGGCCTACAATATAATTGTCATTAAAATGTATTTTCTCATCAAAAGACATAAAAAGTATTTATTTATTGTCAGCAAAAACTTGTGCCGATTTGAGTCAGTGTTCAGTAAGAATCATAGGATCCGTATATTAGATCAAGTGAATCACTCATATCTGCCGTCACTCCTGAAGAGTATTGAAAACGAATGGAAACCTGTTGTCGACAACTACTGGACCCGAGTGGTGGCCAATAGTTCTTCGGCGAAGACCAGTCGCTATGTGTTGGCAATGTTTCCCTATTCCAGCGGTTCCTTACATTTAGGTCTATCTTCTACACAATCCATGTATTGATTACTAATTGTCTCTTTGATTGTATGTAATTGAAGGTCACGTTAGGGTTTACACGACATCAGACGTTATCTTCCGGATGAGTCATCTCCGGGGATATCCATCGATACATCCAATGGGTTTCGATTCGTTTGGTTTGCCGGCAGAAAATGCG